CTCCTCCGGAAACATCTACTAGCACAATGATTTCTTATGCAGTTTTTAAAGATTTATGTTATGTGCGTGCATGTTTTGCTAGTGTGTATGTCTGTATACCACATGTGTGCCTGCTGTCAGAAGAGGGTGTTGGGTCCCCTGGAACTAGAGTTACGTGATTGTGAGCCACCATGTGGGTTCTTTGAATCAAACTGAGTCCTCTTAAGCACTGAGCCATTTCTCTAGCTCAAAATTTTTTATTCTTGAATAAAAATATTTTTTTTTTGCCTGCAAATGGTTTTGTAGATTCTACAGCCTTCAAAACCATGCCTGTGAATCTATACTACCCCCCCTTTTTTTTTTCTTTAAATATTACTAATCTTTTTGGTGCTGACAAGCTAGAAGATGCTGTCTTACTAGTGTTTCTTTATCATTGGCAAGGCTGGCAATTTTTCATGTTGGTTTAGATTTAGAACGGATTTCTTCCTCATTCCCTACACCTGAGTTACCTTTGAAATATATTTTCCTCAGCAGTGTTTAGCATACAGCCCCAGGGCTAAAGAAACCATGGGGGGCTGCAGCTTCCCCGGCTGTCTGGGCTGACAGGCTCCACGTGCTCCACAGATGTGAAGTAGTACCTGCTCTTCCTTTTGCGTCCACCCATTGAAACCTCCAAGGCTGCTTCTGTTTCCTTCCCTGTGTCCCTGGCTTTGCTTGAGCATGTCCTCAGGCCAGGAAGATGGGTGGGTGTCTGAGTTTCACATGGGTCCCCCGGGACCGAGCTTCTTGTTAGAGCTGACAAGTTGTCAGTGGAATACTCTGAAACATTGTGTTCCACTGTGCTTCCAGAAGATTCCTGGAAGCCACTTAAAGAAAGGCAGAGTCAGCCTGAGAAGGACAGTGGGTGGAGCAGGAGCCTCAACCACTACTTGAGCCTCTCTGGCATCCCTCCACTTCACCCCAGCCCGGGCAGCCACAGGCTTCTTTCCTTTCTCCTCTGTTCGCTCTCAGAAATGGAAGCCTTTAGGCTTTAAAACAACACTCAGCATGGCCTGCAGACCCAGCCACTCTCTCCCACCCATAGACGAAAATCACGAGTTCTGTGAGAGGCCCAGAAACGGGCAGATAGACTGATGCAAGAGCTGGAAGACCTAGTGTGAGGCCTGAGCACTCCGTTTCTGGTTTCTCAGCCAAACCTCATTGTTGGAATGTTAAAGCATGGGATATGGCTTTGCTAACGTTTGAAGAATGCTTCCTCACCAGGAAGGGGTGGGAGAGGATCTGCATAGGAAATTCTTTCCTTCATACATAATAAGTTGTCACTGAATTTAAATAACTTGCAGTCACAAGGAATGCTAGTAAAACCATTACACTGTATAGCAACTGTAAGCCCAGCTTTTGCCTGCTTTTGAGCTGGTGAATCTGTAAGAACAGATTTGCTCCTCCAGCAGTCCCATAGGCCTTCCTTACTGGTGTAGGGAAGCGAGCCACAGGGAGTGTGAGATCACTGGCGTTTCTGGTATGCTGGGGGCCTCCCAGCTGGTTGCTTCTTGTCTTGTGGGTAGCTGGGCTGACACGCGGGGTCTTCCTGACATGAGGCATGCTTAGACAGGGAGGACAGTGAGTGGTGATGCGGCTGCAGCAGAAAAAACATGAGACCAGTCTTGAGACTCTGGCAGGGCATCAAGAGCCTGGTGCCTAGGAGTGGAGTCCTTGCACAGCAACCAGGGACTTGACCTGCAGGGTAAGGGGATGAAGAAATGACAGCCAGACAGACACAAAGAAAAAGAAAAAGCTGGCATGGGCGGAGGGGAGGGGCTCTCACATGGAGAAACTGTAGCATGCCTATTGTATACAGTTGAACAGAGGCAGAATTGTTGCATATAGCTAAACAAGGAGATGTGGTTATACACATAGATAAACATGGAAGCGTGGTTTACAGTGTATAGCTGGACCTAGGAAACAGGTTTAGCTAATCTCAGTGGATGAGTCTTCTTTGTAGGGAGCAGGCGTCAGGCAGTAATCAAGGGGCAGGTGGAACTATGATGGGCATACTCTGTACACACTGTTACCACCCACATATGGACCAAGAGGGAGGGTTTACTATTTCCATGAGCCTAACCTGGGCTTATAACCCAGACAGAACCAGAGATACCTGGTAAAAGGAGCTCAGCACATTGTTTTATGTAATTATGATTAAAAGAATAAAATATGAAGTATTAGAGGCATTTGATTCTTAAAACCGACAATGGTCATCTTTGTATTTTCTACCAAAGACACGTAAGAGAAGTGTAGCAGCTGATGTTGAAATGGCCCTGGAACACAAGGACACCGATCATCTTCCTCAATCCCTATAGCAACCCTAGTAGGTAGCTTCATTTCCCAGATGAGGAACAGGTGCTCAGAGTAGGTAGAGAATTTGTGAAGGCTACACAGCTACAAAGAGGGCTGTGTGTGTAAGTGTTCACGGGTGTGCACATACACACTGAGAGCTTGCCTCTGTATCTGAACTCAATACTGTTTTTTGGAGTGGTCATAGACAGTTCTAGATCAGGATTCAGAACACTGGCTCAGTGCTCTGAGAAAGGAAGGGAAGAGGCCAAGTTCCCCTGCAGGAATCCAGCTGCACTGTCCTCAGGAGACCTCCACCAGGGCCCATCATAACTTCATATGTATTGTCCTTGCACATTGAGACCTGTGCCCCTGGTGAACTTAGAAACAGATTCTGGGCTTCCTTTAGCTCTTAACACACAAGTGTGGGGGCTGGGGGTGGAGCTTGGGAGTGGAGCATTGCCAGCATATGTGAGGCCTGGGGTCCCATCCCCAGCACCACAAAATAAAACAAAAGCCTATGATCATTTGGAATATGAACAGGAGCACATTTGAGAGTTGGTGTGTAGAACCTACAGATTTGCTAACCATGTGGTAATGGACAGATAATACAAAGGGCAGGTTTATAAATAAAACTATTTATAAATATGCTGGCTCATGAATGTCACTTGGGTTCACGATTTAAAACATGCTTGCCACTCCAAGTCTGCCTAAGGTTTCAGTCTCCTGGCTAAGTCTCTAGGTCCGAAGACAGGAAGCTCACAAACCTTGAAGTCGTGGGAGCGTGACTTCACATACAGGTGACAAGCTTTTTTTCTCCTGTTGTCGTTGCCTGGCTGTTGGCAGGTCCTGAAAGTAAGGAGCTTAGGCAGATAACTTACCCTGGAAGAGACAGTCGTTCACACAAAGCAGCTGAACTCTCAGTGCCAAATGTCTGTGGTTGGGGAAGCTCCACTTGGCACATTTTTAGTGGGAACAAAAGACTCCAAGTGGTGTGCTGAGATTTGGTCTTAATAGCAGCCTTCCCTCAAGTCCTTGACAGTTGTATAGACATGACCTCATCGCATAGCTTAGCCATGAAGTAGGGATGGTGAGGTGTCATCACCTGGCTCTAGGTGAGGTAGAGGGCGCTTCATGTCTGAGCTCTGCTGCCTTCTCCCCTGGCTCTGCTGTCAAGCCAATTGCTGCCTCCTAGAACCCCACTGTCATTTCCCAGTCAGCTCCCACTTCTGCTCCTTCTCTCTATGTAGCTGCACCTCAGACCTGCATCTCGCTCTTCCCTGCTTCCTTTGGCCTTGCAGCCTCATTGAATCCCAGATCTGGCCACTTTACAGTGAGCACACCCCCCTCCTTTTTGTTCTGTCACTCACCTGTCACACAGCCAGAAACAGAGAACATGATTTAATGTTGGATGATCACATGGTTAGTATCAGGCACTTGGTTTGTTCTAGGCATTGTGTGAAGTGGGTGTATGAAGCTGTGTGGTATGGAGATTTAGACCCTGCCATATTTCTCATAGGCTTTATGGTTTCTCTGTGTAACCCTGGCTGTCCTGGAACTCACATGTACAGCAGGCTGGCCTCAAACTTCCTAGATGATTTTTCCCAGTGTTAAGGAAGCAGACAGGAATAAATGAATAGAGCTGTCAGGCCTGGCCATGAGCATGGAGCACAGTACTCTCTCTCCACAGCTGGACTGCCTACTGCTGAACACCTGTGTGTCCCCTGCTACCATGCTAGGTCTCCCCAATCCTGCTCTCTCTTCAGTGCCTTCCCACATTTCCCTTTTATGGTGCTTGCTAACCTCCCACGGCCCCCATCGCCTCTGTTGCTGCCTTTGCCAGCTGAGCTGTCTTCCCTCGTCACTGCCCCTGTGCCTGAAGTCTACACCCCACAGGTGCCCCCAGCTTCGTCTTCAGACTGCATACGTGACTGACTGGAAGTTCCCTTGGTTTTGCAAATAAGCAAAACCAGGGATGGCCCAACTCTAGCGCAGGTTCCCTGTCACATCATATGCTCCTTGGTGTTGCTACCACCATCCTGGCGTGACCCAACCACAGCTTCTTCTCTGTCTAGCCCATCATTCCTGAGGAACTTTATCCACTTGGACTCTCCACCTTCTCTAAATATATCTGTCCTTGAAAGGGCGTGTCCGACGCCATGTCTTACCTTTGGGTAGAAGGGAGCCATCCATCTCAACTCACAGCTATTTTTCCTGCCTTCTCCTGTTGTGTGAACATTCTACAAACACTTTTAAGGGACATCTCCTGTGTGAACATGAAGCTCTCCAGGATTTCATGAAGACTGCTATGCTCCTTTACTGCTGTAGATGGCAGCGGACATTGCTAACAGGGAGCATTCAGTAAGCAACTCAAAAATGGCCTCAGCAATTTCTCCCTGCTTCCACCCAGCGCATTTCCACTGATTCCAGAGTTAGCATAGTAACAAGCTGGGATCAAGGCCAGTTTCCTACTGCCTAAGGGCTTCATCCGGGACCCACCATCAGAGACCCTGCACATGATTGACACAAGCTCTTATGGTGCATGGTGTGGTTGCAACTCCTTGTGTGTGCTCCAGGTCATCTGTAGCACCTAGCAGGGCCCCAGCAGCCACAGAGAGGCGTCATCAGTGGTTTTGCTGTAAAGGTGTAAATGGTGGTGACATCGATGATATCCCTTGCTTTCTTCCTAGGAGATGGCCGGCAGAGCTCTGAAGCAGACAGGCAGCAGGAGTATTGAAGCAGCTTTGGAGTACATCAGTAAGATGGGCTACCTGGACCCCAGGAATGAGCAGATTGTTCGAGTCATCAAACAGACCTCCCCAGGTGAAGCTGGCTGTGTAGTAGGAAATTATTGTGGTCTGAGGGTAGGGGACCCTGCACAGAGAGTCAGACCTGCCCCTGAAAATTGATCATGTGGTGATGGGATTTAACCTAACTGCTCCCCTGATCATCTGACCCCTGAGTTACTGTCTGGAGGGTTTGTGTGTCTGTTTAATTTTTCTATCTTTGGGCGGGGATGGAGTTCAACTTTTTAAAACCTTTTCTGGGGCCTAGAAAGGGTCTTTTAAAAGGGGGTCATCAATTCCAAAAAACACACTTTTTCTCACATTTGATAGAAGACAGCTCCCAAGGCCTGCAGCCATGAGTGAGCAGTGTCTCAGCTCTGGAAGGGACGGGGTGCCTACTGTGCTTCCCCGGCTGTCAGGCGTTCCTCTCTAGGTGGAGTAGATGCTATGGTGTATGTAATTCCCTGCTCAGTGGCTGACCTGGGATAAAGCCTTCCCTTGGTGAGAGGTGACATCAAGGGCTTTTGAAGTGTTTGTGTTGTTAGCGGATATTTAGTTCTGGTTTCTTGAGAAAAGAAATTTCCCTCACCAGCTGACTGGCCATTGTTCTTGGGTTCTTGGCCTTCTGGAATCTGTCCTGAAGAATGGTACTGCAGGGAAACAGGCCCAGCTCTGTAGCAGCTGCCTTCCTGCTTGGTTTTGGTGTGTTGTGCTGGTAGCATTTGCTCGACCCAGGTGACACAAAGCTACCCATCAGCTGTAACTTTTGTTGAGTGCCAAGGCTGCTGTGTTATTTCTGTCAGGTGAGTTAGGAGAGTCAAGCAGAGCAGAGGAATCCAAGGAGAGAAATGAAGGGGGACTTTGTCCTTTCCACCTTAAATGAGGAAAGATTTTCAGAATGGAGAAAGAAGCCAGGAATAAGGAAGCAGTAGCAGCCATCCACATGTCTGGGTGTTTGCAGAGAGGGACTTTTTGTGGGTTGTTTTAAAGGAGTTTTATTTTTAATGGTGTATGAGCACTTGATTTCAGTGTCTTGCAGGGGCAGAACCCCCAAAAGCTGGAGTTACAAGTAGTTGGGAGCTACCTGATTGGGTGCTGGGAACCAAACTCGATTGGGTCCTCTGCAAGCTTAACTTACTGAACCATTTCTCCATTTCACGGTTTTGTTCTCAGTTAATGTTGAGTATATATTGCCCTGTGTGTCCTTAATAAAGATAGAAACCCAGCAAATCTTTAATTTAGAAAATGACTATTTGGACAGTGGATACACTCCTGCCCTTTGTTAAGGAAAAGTAGACTTTCAAAACCATGACATTAAGTAAACTTGGCTTTCACTGAGGAAACAAAGCTGCTAGTCCCCTAACGTGGCTGGAGACCAACCTTGAGTGGCGTGTCCTCTAAGGCACCATACCCATTCAGACCCATAGCTTCCCGTATGCTCTTTGGCACTCACCCCAACATCCATTTCCCCCTACCTTGCAGGACTCACCCTGTCAGGACTCAGTAGAAGACCTTATACATTTGCCCAGACCCTAAGATAAGGGTGGTGTGAGGACTACAGGGCTAGCAGCCCACCAGTCCCATGTGCTCTTACCAACTTCTCACCCTTTCCTCTGCAGGAAAGGGCCTGGCGCCTACCCCAGTGACACGGCGTCCCAGTTTTGAGGGTGCAGGGGAAGCATTCCCATCCTACCACCAGCTAGGTGGTGCAAACTATGAAGGCCCTGCTGCGCTGGAGGAGGTGCCACGGCAATATTTAGACTTCCTCTTCCCTGGGGTCAGCGCCCACAACACCCCTGGTCACCAGCACCCTCCCAAAGGCTACAGTGCAGCTGTGGAGGCAGGTGCACACTTCCCCACTGCACACTATGGTCGTGCTCACCTTCTAGCAGCGGAGCAGCCGGGTTACGGGGTGCAGCGCAGCCCCTCCTTCCAGAGCAAGACACCACCAGATGCCTACTCCGGCCTGGCCAAAGCCCAGGGCGCCACTCCAGCCAGCCTCGCCTTCCCTGCGCATGCTGGGCTATACACCACTGTGCACCACAAGCCGGCCACCGTGCCTCCCGGTGCCCACCCGCTGCATGTGTTGGGTGCCCGGGGCCCCACGTTCGCCGGTGACAGCCCGGCGCAGGCCGTTCTGACGCCATCCAGGAACAGCCTCAACGCCGACCTGTACGAGCTAGGCTCCCCAGGGCCCTGGTCTGCAACCCCACTGGTGCGCCGAGACTCGTTGCAGAAGCAGGGTCTAGAGGCCACCCGACAACACGTGGCCTTTCGGGCTGGGCCCAGCAGGACCAACTCCTTCAGTAGCCCACAGCCCGAGCCCTCACTGCCTGCCCCCAACACGGTCACCGCAGTGACAGCTGCCCATATCCTGCATCCTGTGAAGAGCGTGCGTGTGCTGCGGCCTGAGCCCCAGACAGCTGTGGGGCCTTCACACCCTGCCTGGGTGCCTGCACCCACAGCACCAGCCACCGAGGGCCTGGAGACCAAGGAGGGCAGCACAGGCCAGCACCCGCTGGACGTAGACTACGGTGGCTCTGAACGCAGGTGCCCACCGCCACCTTACCCGAAGCACCTGCTGCTGCCCAGCAAGACCGAGCAGTACAACCTAGACCTAGACAGTCTGTGTACCGGTGTGGAACAGAGTCTGCGTGGGGGCGCCGAGCAGGACAGGAGTGACAAGAGCCACAAGAGTACCAAGGGAGACAAAGCTAGCAAGGACAAAAAGCAAATCCAGACCTCCCCGGTGCCGGTCCGCAAGAATAGCAAGGATGAAGAGAAGAGAGAGTCGCGCATCAAGAGCTACTCCCCATATGCCTTCAAGTTCTTTATGGAACAACACGTGGAGAATGTCATCAAAACCTACCAGCAGAAGGTTAGCCGGAGGCTGCAGTTGGAACAGGAAATGGCCAAAGTAATTTCTCACTTCCTTCTTACTCTGTTCCCGGTGCCCTGTCCACAGTAGCGGCTATGCACTGTCATCACACGCCCATCTCATAGATGTGAGCATGAGCCAGGCGCTTGGAGAAGCCGCAGTGTGTGGCCTCCCTTTTGCTTCCCTCCTAAGGACCCTGGCTAACAAATCAGCAAACTGATTAGAGTGCTGTGTCCTTACTTTTGAAGAAGGCACACCAAAGGTTACCTGCTGTTAACATTGTAAAAGAACGTTAACATTTTCTAAGTCAGATACTTTAGAGATCCAAATTACTGAACAGTGCTTTTGGTTTGCTTCTTTGAGATACGATGTTCATCTGTAGCCCCCATTGAGCAGGGCCTCCCAGTCCTACCCCAGCTTCAGATGCCAGGGTTGTAAGTATGTTCCTCAGTGCCTAGCCCAGGAGGTGTGAGTGTGTGTGTTGTTTTAGATTATTTTCTTTTCATGTGTATGAGTGTTTTGTTTGCTTGTTTGTCTGTATACCATGCTTGTGCCAGAGGAGGGCTTTGGATCCCCTGGAACTAGAGTTACAGACAGCAGTGAGCGGCCACATGGGGGCTGGGGACTGAATGGGGGTCCTCTGGAAGAGCAGCCAGTGCTTCTAACCACAGAGCCTTCTCTCCAGCCCCAGTAAATAATGTTTTAAACATTCTGCAATTGATTCTGTAAAGTACTAGAGAAAGAAACTTTTATCACATTATTTTAAATTTAAATGTGATAGTAAATTTACATTGCACAAACCAGTCATTTTAAATTCCAAAACTTAAGTTTGTGTTCTTATTTCCTGTTGGTCCATGTTCATTGCTTGTTTTCTGTTTTCCCGTTTTCTTTGAACTACTGAAATACTAGATAATGAATTCCAGGAATGTTTTCCACAGATTTGTTTTTCTAGTAGTAGTAGTGGTTTTTCCTGTAGTGTTTTTCCTGGTTTTGAGAACCTAAATCACCTAGAGAAAGAATTTTCTTTGGATTCCATACTTACATATATGTGGACGCATGTTGCATGAAAATATAGATGTCTACATCTCTGTATAAAGATCAAGGCTGGCTGGTATCTTGCCTATAGTCTAGTAGACCTAGTCTTCCTGAAGGGTCCTCAATGTTCCAAGGCACCCCTGCCCTACTGCTTGGCTGCCGAGTGTTCCTTTAACAGGGCTTTCTGGTTTTCCTCATGTGCAGGCTGGACTCTGCGAGGCTGAACAGGAGCAGATGAGGAAGATCCTCTACCAGAAGGAGTCCAACTACAACAGACTGAAGCGGGCCAAGATGGACAAGTCCATGTTTGTGAAAATCAAAACTCTGGGCATTGGTGCCTTTGGAGAAGTGTGCCTTGCCTGTAAGGTGGACACTCACGCCCTGTATGCCATGAAGACGCTGAGGAAGAAAGATGTCCTGAACCGGAACCAGGTGGCCCATGTCAAGGCAGAGAGGGACATCCTGGCTGAGGCAGACAATGAGTGGGTGGTCAAACTCTACTACTCCTTCCAGGACAAGGACAGCCTGTACTTTGTGATGGATTACATCCCTGGTGGGGATATGATGAGCCTGCTGATCCGGATGGAAGTGTTCCCTGAGCACCTGGCCCGATTCTACATTGCAGAGTTGACTCTGGCCATTGAGAGTGTCCACAAGATGGGCTTCATCCACAGGGACATCAAGCCCGACAACATCTTGATCGACCTGGATGGTCACATTAAGCTGACAGATTTTGGCCTCTGCACCGGATTCAGGTGGACTCACAATTCCAAGTACTACCAGAAAGGTACTGCTGCTGGCCTACTGTGTGCACCTCCCACACCCACATCAGGGACCGCTCCACTGGGCAGCTGCATAGTCCTTATGGCACCTAATTTTTTCAAAGCAGTCTGTTGGTCTGCTACTGTGATTTAGTGTGGCATAGTCCCCCTCCTAAGGAGTGGTGTGATACGTGTGAGGATATTCTCTTTGTTAGGGGACTTTCTTAAAGAAGTTCCTCACTGCCCTATTAAAAGAAACCTTAGAAAATAAAAGCTTAGGGCTCCTGGAGTAGTGGTAGTTCAGCAGAAGAGACCTGACTGGCATGCAGAAGGCCTGGGTTTGTCAGTGGGAGAAGAGTTTGTACTGACTTGAATTGGCAAAATGACTTGCCTGTTCAAAGCTGTGGATTTGCTGCAATGTTGAGTATGGAAACTGATGTTCCTTTCTGCTCTTTTCTGTCACCACGCCTTTTCCCCGGTAAAGGGAACCACATCAGACAGGACAGCATGGAGCCTGGTGACCTCTGGGATGACGTTTCTAACTGCCGATGTGGAGACAGGTTAAAGACCCTGGAGCAGAGAGCCCAGAAGCAGCACCAGCGGTGTCTGGCTCATTCTCTGGTTGGGACACCAAATTACATCGCGCCTGAGGTGCTTCTCCGCAAAGGTATGCCAGCCTGCTCCCTCCTCAGCTCACTGCCTGCTCTCATAAGAGCTTTAGGAACAGGTGTCCAGGACTCTTTAAGTATTCCTATTGTATTTTTGTGCCTAAAGACGCCTGAGAGCTTGATGGTTTCCCTAGCAACAAGGCTCTGTCATCTTACCTCTGATCTGGAGGGGGCCTTTGCTTTCATCATGATTAAGCCAATATTCCTCACCCTCTAACTGAGGAGTGTGTGTTGTGGGGCTTTCTACCTCAGATCCAAGGGAATGACTCCAACTAACTAGCTTTTTCAGAGTCAGCTAGGGGCTGGAGAGATGACTCACTGGTTAAGAGCATTGGTTGCTCTTCCAGAAGACACAGGTTCAGTTCCCAACACCTACATGATTGCTCACAACTAACAATGGTTTTCCAGGGGGATACAGGGCCCTCTTCTGGCCTCCGCAAACACAGCACACACATGGTGCATGCACATGCATGCAGGCAAACACCCATACACATAAAAGATAAATTTATTAACTTAAATGCAGTCAGCTGATGAAGCTGTTTGGAGTTAATAGGGTCACTGCCCTCTGTAGCCCATCATTTCCAAGTTCTAGCTTACCTCTCCCTTGTCCAGGCTGGATTACTCCATGTCTGGTACATAAATAAATGCTTCCCTATTGGTCCCAAAACTCCTACAAGGTAATGTGTGCAAACCTTAATTGATATCTGTACTAGTTGGTGCAATTTGTTTCTGGATAGATAACCTGGACACAGTGTCTGCTTCAGAACCAGAGGAACCCTGAGTGTCTTTTGTGGTTCATCGTGACAGTGGACTGACATCAGCTTGACCCTATAGCTAATCCAGACACTTCTTTCCATTCACATTGTATCTTTAGACCTAGTCCAACTTGGTTCAGGATGAAGTTTTCCATCACTGTGGTGGTCTAATTGATCCACTCAGCCCTGTGCATAAAGGTGTCCCTTGAGAACTTGCAAAGGCTAATTTTGGTGCCCAGTAGAGGTCCCACACTCCAGCCATGAGTACTGTTCTGCAGGAGTCATGGGCAAGGTTTACTCTGCAGCTGTCAATGCCAGGAGCAGCTAATGAAGGTAGAGTTCAAAGCTCCACTGGCTGCTCCTGTTCCTGGGCTTACTAGCAAGCTTTGCTTGACTGAGATGAAGGCCCTAAGGAATAGTGGGAGAACATCAAAGAGGAATGAGCCTGTTCACAACCTCCTTGTAGGCAGCCCCACCACCCTAGGTGGGAGCTTAGTTTTACTTACTGTTGAGAAGGGTCTCTGCATAGACTCCATGTTGTTGAGCATCCATCCTAAACAGAATTATAGACTTATCTAGGAAGCTTTCCTGCTTTCTACACCTGCCCTGTAGCCAATGGGTACAGCACTGCCAAGCCTAAGTTCAATTCCCGAGCCCCACATGATAGGAGGGAATAGACTCCTACAAGGTATCCTCTGATCAAACACATGCCATAGTGCACTTGTACACACACACACACACACACACACACACACACACACACACACACACTCTCAGTGTTTAAAAAAAAAATCAATGTCTTGTCTTCTTACTGTAAAAGCATCCTGTGTTTATGAAGACCAGTGATTAAGAACAAGAAAATTCAAGTTTCTGTGACCACGTGATATCTATCTGCATGTTTATGTGAGCCCATTGTAGCTGCCAGTCTGAGCCCCTGCCTGGGGATGACCATTTGTGCAGGTCTCTCCTTTTACTAGCACAGTAATACCTCTGAGCTGCTCACTCCATCATAGTCCATCTAGGTGTTCAGGCACTAAGGAAGCCTGTGCTGTGGACTGAGGGAATGCTGTCTTTCAGGGTACACGCAGCTCTGTGACTGGTGGAGTGTCGGCGTGATTCTTTTTGAGATGTTGGTTGGGCAACCACCTTTCTTGGCACCCACTCCCACAGAAACCCAGCTGAAGGTAAGCACATGTGTGTTATGCAGAACACTGCGCTTTTCCACAGTCCCCAGTCAGTTTTGGAGTCTTATTCTGAATAGATTAGAAATGGCTGTCATTTGTAGAAGAGTTTTCCAAAAAAAAGAATCTTTTACTTTTACTATAGTTTTGAATTTTTTAATATTAAAACAAAGCTAGACCTGAGTTTTAATGTATTTGTATAAGCTATTACTATCTGTCTGTCTATCTAATCTGCCTGTTCTCTTTGTATTTCAAAGCAGGGTCCACACACAGTGTGGTGCAAGTGGCAGCTGTGGTAGCCCCTTGCCTGGCTTGCCCTGAAGAGAATCAACAGCCCTGTGGCTAGAGAAGCCAGTGTGGTTATTTAGATACTGTGCCACCATGGCTATAATTATCAGCTTGGTGGTCAGGCTAGTTGTATGTATTCCCAATACTCACTGAAAATAATTGAATAAATTACTAAATTAATCAGTTAGTGATTCATTTTAGATTCACAGCCACTTTCTGAATGTGTTAATCCTTAATTTGTTCAGAGTTAACTGAAAATCTGAACTCCCTAGTGAATTTACAGAAGCACAGTTCTAGAGAGTTTTCTTTTATATCCTGATCAGTCCATGGTGGAAACTGGATCAGCCAGGCAGTGGTGCAGTACATGCCTTTGATCCCATCCAAGGGATCCCATAGGCTGGTGGATCTGAGTTCAAGGCCAGCCTGGTCTACAGAGGGAGTTTCAGGACAGCCAAGGCTGTACATATCAAAATGAGAGGAAAGGAGGGAGGGAGGGAGAAAGGGAGGGTGAGAAGAAACTTTGATTCAAAACTCAGTTAAAGTCTGAACAACACAGTTGGCTTTGGTTGTGGCATTTTCTGCTTACCACTTGACCTGCAGAACCACTCACTGATTTGCCCACATGTTAGTAAGCCAGATACTTTTTTTTTTTGCCCTGTGGCAAAATAGGTATGACATGCAATTTACATTCAACTATTTCGAGGTATATGACTTGTTAGCCTTAAATGTGCTCACACAGGGCTCTGTATATGATTTCTGGATATTCTCATCGCACATGCAGACTTGGTACCCATTAAATAACTGCTCTCATAGATGTGGAGTTCTGTACTTGTGTGTCTTATTTTACTGCCATTTTTCAATTACATATTATACTCAAGATTCATCCCTGCTTGTGTGTGTAGATTTTCTGCTTTTAAGACTAAACTACAGCCAGGCTTTGATGGCACGCGCCTTTAATCCTAGCACTCATGAGGCAGAGGCAGGTGGATCTCTGTGAGTTTGAGGCCAGCCCGATCTACAGAGCAAGTTCTAGAAAAGGTTCCAAAACAATACAGAGAAACCCTGTCTTGAAAAACCAAAAAAAAAAAAAAAAAGACTGAACTACAGTCCTTTAAGTGTGTGCCCTATGTTTTGACTACCCGTTCACCAGGTGACAGGTGTCTAGTGTCTCCTGCCTCCTGGCTACTGTGACTAATGCCTCTGTTCCATGACCCTCCTCTCGGTCATTCTGGACTTACACCCAGAGGAGGATTCCCTCTTAGAACTGCCAAACTGTTAACGACAACCATACTATTATATTTATTCATTCATTCATTCTTTTTTTTTTTTTTTTTTTTTTTTTTTGAGACAGTGTTCCTATCTATAGACCAGCTTTAAACCTGAGACATCCTCTTGTCTCAGTTTCCAGTTTCCTCTGTTCTGAGGTTGCACATTTGGACCACTGTGCTTAGCAACGTCTTTTACATTTCTCTGCAGTAGTGTATCCAGGCTGCATTTTCTCTGCATCCTTACTGCCGCTTACTAGTGTCTACTTTCCTTAGCCCCCTGAGTGCTGGGATTGCAGGCATGCACTTTCACACCCAGTGCAACCTCCTCTTTGGAATAACAGCCATCCTCGGATGTGAGGTAGTGTTTCAGCTGTGGGGTTTTGTTCACCTTTCCCTGGTCACTAGTGAGATTAAGCATGTGATCCTGTACTCATTTACCATTTGTATATTTTTATGGAAATGACCAATAGTCTTTAACTAACCCTATTTTAAAATTCACATTGTTGGTGGGGTTCTTTCTCTATGCATTCTAGATATTAAGTTCTTTGCACACGTTTCCTTTGCAGACATAGTCTATTTTATGGGTAGTCTCTTCATTCTTAGTAAGTTTAATTTGTGAGTTCCCAGTCGCATATCCCTGACTGGGCTGGAGCCACATAGACCAGATTGGCCTTGAGCCTGCAGCTGGCCTGCCCTGCTTCTGAAGTGCAGAGATTACTAGATGTGTGCCATCATACATGGCACAAAAGTTTGTGATTTTCATGAAATCCAGCATACTTTGTCCTTCCTGCTGGGATCTTGGTGTCACAGAAGAAAACCTTGTCACATTTCATAGTTAGTCCCTCTGAAACACTCACTGTAGAGCAAGTCTCCCTAGCAGCACTCTGAGCCTAAGCCTGAACAATGCAGATGTTAGGTTTCTTTCCACAGTACACATGGCTTCATGACATACTTACTTAATAATACCCAGATGAGGCCAAAGCCAGCTGGGGTCAATTATCGCAAAGAAAAGAAATCCCAGAGACCAGCTGCCATCCCCAGTAACTACCAAGTGAGTACTGTGGTGGCCCAACAGAACCCTTTGCCACAGCTGAAGATTTTTGTGAGAAGCTCAAACCCCTTAGCTGTGCAGGCTCAAGACTTGGGTTGAGGAAGCTCTAACCCCTTCTCTGTTCCCCACAGGTGATCAACTGGGAGAACACGCTGCACATCCCAGCGCAGGTGAAGCTGAGCGCTGAGGCTCGTGACCTCATCACTAGGCTATGCTGCGCGGCTGACAGCCGCCTGGGCAGGAATGGGGCAGATGACCTCAAGGCCCACCCGTTCTTCAGTGCCATCGACTTCTCCCGTGACATCCGGAAGCAGCCTGCGCCCTACGTCCCCACCATCAGCCATCCCATGGACACCTCCAATTTTGACCCGGTGGATGAAGAAAGCCCCTGGCACGAGGCCAGCGGGGAGAGCGCCAAGGCCTGGGACACTCTGGCATCCCCCAACAGCAAGCACCCTGAACATGCCTTCTACGAGTTCACCTTCCGCAGGTTCTTCGATGACAACGGCTACCCTTTCCGGTGCCCAAAGCCATCAGAGCCTGCAGAGAGCGCAGACCCGGGGGATGCAGAGCTGGAGGGTGCGGCTGAGAGCTGCCAGCCAGTGTACGTGTAAGCAGCCAGTGGCCCCTGAGCACACCTCCTGAGACTCTGGTCTTTGTCAACAAAACCACAAACAACATTTTTTTAAAAGAGAAACTCAAGTTTGGGAATCCTTCATTTCTAGTCTGGTTAATGGGTAACAGGGAGGGTCACCGTGACTTTGAATTGGTCCTTTGAGGACCTTCACTGCATTAAAACAACATTTTTTAAAATTTAGTACAATATGAAAAGAGCACTTATTTTATGGATACCCATTTTTTCTTACTAAATTATAAGGATTAACTTTGACAAATCATGCTGCTGTTACTTCCATTTGTGTTTTTATCTGATAGCACTTGTCCACATTTAGAGAAGTAAGAACTAAACGTGTGGTAAGACGTCTGTGCAATAAGTGAGAGAAGACCGTTTATCTACACAGTGGCTTTGTGTTTTAGTTTTCCCACATTTCAAAATTGTGATGTCATGTTTAAAAGCTGCGTTGTGCTTTTTCCCCCTTTGCATGTTATAGTGTGCTAGAAAGAGTGAGCAGAGATGGTGGCTGACTCCAGTGTCTAGTGTGTGAAAGGCACTACATGAGCAGTTCTCTGTTATAAAATTACCGTATCTTGCCATTCACAGCAGGTCCTGTGAATCTGTTTTTAAATGAGGTATTCTAGAGAGTGTGCTGATAATGTATTGTATGGGTGATGATTGTAGCCCTTATTGTTAAAGAAATGCATATGTGTAACTGAAGTGTGTGTTTTTTTTTAAAACATGTGTGTTTTGGATATGACTGGGTTCTTTGGGAGGCAAATGTAAACGTTTGTCATATATAAAACACATCAAAAGGGATTAATTCAGCTATGCCAAAACATTGGACATAATCATAGCACTCTGTTCATTTCTCTAGTCCAGTATGCTGTCAGTCTTGGTATGTGGAAAGTTGTATCGGGGACCCTACTACTTAATTTTTTCACCAACAGGTTCCCACACCAAAAGGTGAGGTAAGCCTGTTACCTCAACCAGCCAAGGTGTCACGGGGAGACTTAGTCTTCCTGTGTTCTTTCACATGTTGAGGTATCAAATCTTAATATGGCTTAACCAACATGTTTTTCTAACTTTGTAAAAAGAAAAAAGATTCTTCGGAGTGACATTGAAGTACAAAAATAAGCCATACATTTTTTTCTTAGACATATAGGTGTATATATAACTATAGATAAACACACAAAATACTCCTTATTTCAAATTAGTATGGTTCCTATTTAAAGTGATTTATATTTGAATACATTCAGTTTCTTTTGCTTTTGAAAAGATGGAATGCATCACATTCTCATTATACTATTCCACATATTTTCCTTGCGGTTCTTAGCATAATGTATCCGTTACTTAGTATGTATCTAGGCAGAAACACTTACAAATTTATCTATGTCTAAGAAACATTCCTGTGTCCTGGTTTACATTTGTATGAATGGCATATTCTGAAGTCTGCTGTGCTTGTATTGGGACTTACAGTATTCTTGCTATTTTGTAGTAATGCCGTGTTATTTACAGCGCTCTGACATAGTTTCATGTGGTAGGTTCTTTCTCAGGAACTCGATTTAACTATTATTTATTGATATATCATTGCCTTTGAAAGCTTCTACTGGCACAATTTATTATTAAAACTTTAAACCCAAGTCTCTTTGGTGGTGTTTTGTTGGAGCCCGTAAAGTCTTACACAATAAGCATGCTGGAGCTTCCCACATTTTCCTACTGATTTACCTGATGCCAGGTTTCTGACACCAGAGGGCAGAGACACAGAGAGAAAAGAGAATCCAAATCAACCTAAGATTATGTGACATCTGTAAACAGTTGTCTATAAAATGGGGATAAATGTCTGTTAGGATTTCTGGGTGGGTGGAGATTCAAATAGAGATGATAGGTGATCACATCAAGTTTGAGCAGCTCCAACCCCACCTGTGTCATTACAGCCGTGGGGGAGTGGCACTGCTAGCGTTTAAGTGCAGGTAAGTGTGGTACCCCCCCCCCCCTCGAGTTGTCGATGCTTTCGATGCTTTCGTGTACTACCCTTCAAGCTGTCGATGCTGTTAGAAACAACTGGATGGCAGGGGCTTTGTCTTAGCCCAGGGATTAACCCTTGCTGGATTCTTTCATGGTTTGGGGAAGTGGTAAAAAGTAGGAGGTAAGTAGTAGGAAGACCCTGGGGATGTATGCCCTGCCCTGGCCCCTTCCTAGCTCTCTGCTTTCTGCCCACAGTAGGGTAAATTGTTTGCTGAGACATCAGCCTCACCTCAGGCCCACACACAGAGCAGGCTGACCACAGATTGAAATCTCTGCATCCATAAGACAAAGTAACAACCCCCAGCCCCGAAACAGTTTTATTTGTCATACTGGTGAAACAATGAGTGACTGGAAATGGTGTTTGGCTCACTCTGGGGTAGTCTTTTCTTTTGAAGAGCCAATCATGGTTTAAAAAGTTACTATTTCATTTCCCTACAGACAACCAATGGTCATGGTTGTGCGTTCTGGGAGAAGTACAGTATAAGGAGAAACATATTATACCTCGAAAGAAAACTGTACTTTTTTTCCCCCACCTGTTTTCATGACAGTGGCTCTTAACTATCTCAGCATAGAAACTCGTTCTTAGCAATGCTGAGATTCAGCCAAGGCCTCACTCATGCATGCCAGGCAAACTACACTAAGCTATAGCCAAGCTCTCTCCAGTCCTTATTGTTATTGCATAGTAGTCCATTAAGGTTTTAGAAACAACCCCCTCATATTGACATTCAGTTACTAGGTTGGTTGGTTGGTTTTGATACAGGGTCTCACTATGTAGTCTTTGCTATCCATGAACTCTATGTAGTTTCAAACTCAGATATCTCCCTGCCTCTGCCTCTGCCTCCTGAGTGCTGGGATTAAAGGTGTGCACTACCCTGCGAAGCTTAATTTGTTTTTTGAGGACTCTCTATACTGATTTCCACAGTGACTGCACAAGCTTATATTCTCACCACCAAAAAATAAGCATTCTTCCTCCTACATCCTTGCCATATTTCTTTTCTTAATGATGGCTATTCTGATTTCAGTGAGATCAAACTTGAAAGCTGTTTTATATAATTTTTTATTTAAATTAGAAACAAGCTTGTTTTACATGTCAATCCCAGTTCCCTCTACCTCCCCTCCTCTGTTCCCCTTCCAATCCCCATCCCATCCCTTTTCTGCTCCCCAGGGAGGGTGAGGCCTTCCATGGGGAGTCTTCAAAGTCATATCATGTGAAGCAGGGCCTAGACCCTCCCTCATGTGTCTAGGCTGAGAGAGTATCCCTCTATGTGGAATGGGCTCCCAAAGTCCATTCGTATACTAGGGACAAATACGGATCCACTACCAGAAACCCCATAGACTACCCAGTCCTAACTAACACCCTTGTTCATGGGATCTGGGTCGGTTCTATGCTGTTTTCCCAACTATCAGATTGGGGTCCATGAGCTCCCCCTTGTTCAGGTCAGCTGTTTCTGTAAGTTTCTCCAGTCTGGTCTTGACCTCTTTGCTCATCACCCCTCCCTGTCTTCAACTGGATTCCAGGAGTTCGGCTCAGTGTTTAGCTGTGGGTGTCTGCTTCCATCAGCTGCTGGATGAAGTTTTTTTCTTTATTTTTATATGATATTTTTAAATTAATTTCAAAGCTGTTTTAATTTGTGTTTACCTGTTAAGGGTGCTAAATTTGTTTTTAATTACTTGTTGATCAGTGTGTTTCTTGTCTATTCTGTTCATTAGCCCTTTATTGAGTGTATGATTTGGCTTTTTATTTCATTTGGTTTTGGTGTTTAATATCATACATCCTTATATAATTTATCTAATGTGTAGTTGGCAAATATTTTCTCCCCATCCTATAGACAGACTGTATTATTTTCTATTGCTGTGATGAAACACCTCAATCAAGGCTGAGACTTAGAAGAAAGAGTTTATTTGGACTTATGGTTCCAGAGGATTAGAGTCCAGCATGATGGAGTGGAGGCTAGGTCACCAGCGTGGGAAGCTAAGGATTCACATCTTGACCTGCAAGCATGAAATAGTGTATCCTAAATGATCTTGTCTCAGAGCCTGCCTCTAGTGACACACATCCTCCCAAACACCAATAACTGGGGATAGGCGTTCAGATGCCTCTGAGTGTGGAAGACATCTCATTCAGACTACATGTATTATTTCTTCATTGCAGCTTCCTTTCCTGAGCTGTTGCTACCTTAGCCTTCTGTGTACTGAAGAGAGAGGTGTGTGTACTGGGATATTCATTTTGTCTCCTTCTGTGGCACTGACCACGCCCAAAGAAGATGGGGCCCCACCTTGACATTTCCACTTGACTCAACCTGATTCATCTGGACTACAAACTTCACCCTCAAACCAGTTTGAGACTGTTTTGCTCAAGACAACTCATGACTAGCTAGCTGTAATGGTACACCTTCTTTTTACACCCTGGCCAGAGTTTCAAATAGTACTACAGTCAAGCATTTTCTGCCACACAGTGACTAGCTACATATGTCACAACCAGTTCTGTTGAGAAATTTGGTTGCTAAAAATTTTCTTCCTACAGGATCCCATGGAACTATCATTGTCCTATTTCAGCAGGAAGTAATCTTAAGATAACGATGCCCCCTTTCCCTTACTCTTGGAATTTGGGGATAATATTCATCTTCTTTGGGTTGGTTTTAGTTACTTAGGGTTGGGTATGGAAGGTGATGCTTACACTTGGGTTTATGTTTTAGACAGGAATAGGGTATGGTTGGGAAAGGTATGATTTAGATGGGATATAGGTAGATTAGCCTATCTTCTTTTGAATTATTTAGTAAGTGAGATAATATAGTATTATACAGCTTACATTGTTATATATTCTTATTTGTTGTAACCTATGTAAAATTAAGCTTATATTCCCTTTCTGGAAGAATTGTATATTATATTTTGTCATATTGTGTAAAATCTTTCCATTTATGATGTTTTATGCATATTATTCTTAGCATATTCTATGTATGTATACTTTTACTTATGTTCAAGACATTTTGTATACTGATACAATTTGGGATATTTATCATGCTGCCCATTATAGTTCTACCTCTTGTATAGACATTTCTACTCTACCTCTATTTTAGGGATTTACATATATATATATATATATACGTATATATATATATATATATATATATATATATTAGGTATTTATCCCTGCTTTACTCAAGGAAGTTTTAATCAGTTTTTTTTTTTTAGCTAAGTTCCTGAGTATTACAGATTATCTTCATCCATGTTTCCTTTACCCATGAGATTAGTCAGACATAGATGCTTAATCTTCAATCACTTCATAGACCTGCAGAACATGGCATTTAAATGTTTTAATATTAGTACTCCATTGACATGAGACACTGTTGCTCCTGACAGCACCGTGCACTTTCCCAAAAATATGTTGGATACTGTTGTTGCTCCTTCTGGAGTTCATTCTTCGGCTAATGGCTTCTTGGGCAAAGAACTGCCCCCACCTTGACCACTGATTTGGACATGTGGTCCTATGTGCTTGCAGGAGACAAATATAGAAGACTGCTAAACCTTGCCAAGTCAGGGTAAGACAGCCTTTCTACCTCCCTGCTGTTGTTGTGGTCTGTCAGATACTCTAGGCCTTAACCAAAACTGGGTGTACCAACGTTGCTGTAAGACCTAGGGTGACTGTCCAGGTAGCTTGCTGTTTCTGTCCTCTCTGTACCTTTTGGAAGTTGCCCATCCGTACTTCCTGTCTACTCTAGTATCATTTTCCTTCTCAGGTCTTGATGAGGTTAAAGATTAAATGATCACAACTATTATTCTCTCTTTCTAGTTAGATAAATTAGGTACTAGTTTTCCAGCTTAGGACAACTCTATTGTTAACTCCGTTATGCCTTCACCCTAGGACTAGATATGTAGGTCGTTTTGTTCTCAATTTTCCTTTTCTTAGAGCACACTTGTAATTCACTATTTTGTATATAGTTTTGTATCAAGCCTAAATCTTTTCTTTAGACTAAAAGGGGAATTGTAATGAGACATTCACTTTGTCTCCTTCTGTGGCACTGACCACACCCATTGGGGCAGAGCCAGGGGCAGAAGTGACCTGTGGAACTAGGTCTGAGGAGAAGCCAGGAATGCGCTCTTGCTGGTGGGATGCGGAGAGGAGAGCATCCGGTGGAACCTGCTGGTGTTCATCTGTCTAGGTTGTAAGTTATTTCTCCCTGAATAAACATCTATTCGGCCTATCTGTTTATCCTGATCCTTATTAAACCACAATAGGTGTGTGCTTTACATGACTTCTTGAAAACTATATTAAAACAAATCATCTCTGGTCAAGCAGAGGTAGTGCATGGCTTTAATCCCAGTACCCAGGAGGCAAAAGCAGGCAGATCTCTGAGTTTGAGGCCAGCCTGGACTACAGAGTGAGTTCCAGTCTCTTGCTACTTCTACTCAAACAACCACTCTTACCTTAATATGTTTTTAATGATATATCTTGATTTGCTTATTTTAAACATTTTCTATTATTAACTGTGTATTGCAGTCATTTTCTTATATTCTCTGCTCAACCTCTTTTTCTCAATCTATTTCTGGCATAATCTTTAGATAATGAGTTTTCAATATAAATAACATTAAGACCATATGTAAGTAGTCTTTGAAC